CCTTCGCGCCGGCCAGCGCCTGCGCCCCCCCGCAGCCCAGCGCCGCGGCCCAGTACGACGACCAGAAGCCGCGGGACTCCAGGGTCCGGGCGGCCTGGGGCATCGTCGGACTGATGCCTGCCCCCGCCAGCGTGGCCTGGGCCCCTCTGGCCAATCCCGCCAGCCCTCTGGGCGTCGGTGGTCTAGAGCGTTTCCTCTTCCGCCCCTCCTGCTTCCCCTTCGGGGAGGGGTTTAGCCCTCCCCCTACCCCCTCCTCATGGACCTTGAGAGGGGGTTCCGCGAGGTGTCGGAGCGTCCCAAACGGCCTCGGCGAGGAAGCCAAAATCATTGATTTTACCAGGGTTTGGGCCCCATGTTGGCCTCCTGGGGGGGCGACCGTAATCCGTACCCCCCCCCCCCTCCTGTAATCGATCTCACCCAAGATGGCCCAAAGATGGCCCCCAAGGCTCCCAAGGGTGCCCCAAGATGGCCCAAAGATGGCCCCAAGAGGCTCCCAAGAGGCCCCCAGGAGGCCCCCAAGAGACTCCCAAGAGGCCCCAAGAGACCCCCCAGAGGCACCCAAGATGCTCCAAGAGGCCTCGGCAAGAATGCCAAATCATTGATGTTCCAAAAAAAAGGTTTTAGCCACATGTTGGCCTCTTGGGGGGGGCACTGATTCAGATGACTCCAAAAGCGCCTGGGAGAGCCCAAAATGACCTCCAAGATGGCTCACGATATCCCAAGATGTCTCATAATGGTTTCCTCTGTGTGCTGCCCACTTCCCTGATCGAGGCAATTCCTCCGGGCATCGTTTCTGGATGGGCTGGTGGGGATTCGCGAAGCGTCAAAAAAGTTACCTCCCCAAGTGAGGATAGAGGCTGTTCCCTTCGGGTGTCGAGGAGCACACCCCAAACCGGGGTGGTGGGCTGGTGGGGATCGGGATGGGGCTGGGGATCGGGATCGGCGATTCGCTGCTGAGGCCTGGAGGGCCCCCAGCTGCCGCCACGCCGCGGCCGCCGCCAGCGCCGCCCACAGCGAGCAGCCGAGCACCTGGCTGGGTAGACGAAGCCAATCTGGCAGGCCCAATCTGGCAAACGGGGGCAATCTGGCGAGGGAGCCAACGCGAATCCAGTCTGGCGAAGAACCCAAACCATCCAGTTTGGCCAGGCCAGATTGGCCCTGGGGGCCCAATCCAGTCTGACAGTCTGGCCCTCGACTACCCAGCCTGGGGCACGCCGGCGGGGGGCCGGCTCCCGCGGCGGGCCCGCATCGGCGACGCACCGCCGCCAGGTCGGCGACAGGCCCGACAGCGAGGCCGCACGCTCCCGGGCAGGGCACGCCGTCACCTCCCCCCATCGGCAACGGAGGGGCGACGGGGGGCCGATGCACTCGAAAGAGAGAGCTTCTAAAGGCATTTTTCGAAAAAGTCGAAAAAATGATGTTTTCCTGCCGACATGAAGTTGGTTCCGTCAAGTGTTTTGATAGTACAACGCCGCCTACAGAGCTCATATTAGACGCAGAGGCCCTCATAGTCGTCTAGCCCGTCCCCGTCCACGGTGGGCTTCGGGCCACGGCCAGGGCCTCGGGCGATCGCTCGGGGTGACTCGGGCCCCCACGGGACGCTCTCGACGAGGTGCCGCGGATGAAAACTCGGGTGCGCCTTCGGGGAGGCCTCTGTGGACCTCCGCGGCCCTATCGGAAACGTGACTTTGACCAGATTTCGTCCAAATGTCAGACGCCTCTCTACATTCCGACGAAAACCGAACGAGATCCCCACAACCACAAGGCATGTGGGGACCCTCTGGGGCTCCCTTGAAGAATCACTCTAAATCCATCCCGTCGCTTTCGCATGTCAGCTTCGGCCCGACCCAAACATCCGACGACTCGACCTTGCCAAGCTGCCAGGACCAACACCAGGAAACCACGTGCTCGTTTCTCGCACTTCCTGGGTAACGGTCGCTACCCGGGGGAGGGGGAGGTGGTCGGGCTGGAGTGGGGGGCCCAAAAATATACACCACCACCACCACCTCCCTCACCCCCTCCCTCCCCCAGGAAAAAGGAAGGGAAGAGGAGGGTAGAGGATAGAGGAGGAATCGACGTGGTGGTGATGTATACTTTTTGGGCCCCAATGACGGGTAATGGTAACGGCGGCCGCGGCGTGCACCCGCCAGGGTGCGTCCGCGCAACCGGTGCATCAGTAGCCTGTGTTTACAAGCCTGGAACATATCCCTATCCCTATGTTGGGCATCGCCTCGTTACGATGGCGATGTTAGGGATTTCCTCAGTTTCTGAGGGTGCATCCCTAAGATTGTCATCTTCTTTTAGCGTGTCAAACTTAGGGATAGGGATACGTTCGAGGCTGGTGATGTGTGCACCACAGAGCATGTCATTAGTGGGGGGTCGGGGGTCCAGGCCAACTCCCCCCAGCACGATCGCTGGCGTCACCACACGGGGGGGGTAACGAGCATTACCGTGGGGGGAGAAACATAAAAAACAACACAAAAGCAGGCAAAAACAAAAA